CCTCTCTCCTTTTTGAGGGAAAATAATGCAATCCACGAGGCCCTTCTCCACTAATCGCACCTCATATATGGCCTCGAGTACCCTGACATCTCCAGGATGAAGACAAGGGTTTTTGGTTACGACAACCCTGCCTTTCACAACTGCAGTTGTATCATCCACCTTATGAAAGAAACTCTGTTCACCTAATTGTAGTTCTGTCTTGTTCAAGGTTAATCGAGCATAAACCTGGCCATAATCCAAAATCCCTGTTTCATCCAAACACCCTACCACAATTCGGCCTTTAGGTACAGATATTCGACACCTACTTTTAAGATCAGAGAGCTGATTTTCATAATGTGACTGAAGCATTGTTGAGAGGTACGGCTCAACATTAGGCTCATAACCTTTAAGCAACATCTTCACCAAAACTTTCTTTATCTCACCCCCACCCATGCTCTCCAAGACATCCAATGCTGCTTGTTTATCTGTCAACATTTTACCCAATAGACGCAGGTGTTCCTCTTGCATTTCCTCAAACACTTTATCCTCTATCCCCAAGGTAGATAAGAGGACAACAATCTCACGGTTTAAGTAGCAAGGCATAGCATCACTCCACTTGGTAATATTAAGCATCCTATTCGTTGATTCAAATTTAAGCATGCTGCTGCGCAGAGATAACTTGCGGAAAGAATTTCGGTCAACAGCTATTACACCTTTATAACCACCATAACGTATTTGAAAAGCTGATGGAGTATGAGTCAATCCACACTTCTGAGCAACTTGCCTGGAAAAAGCTTGGGAAATCTTACCAATGCCATCTGAGAAGCAATATTTAACACCATCCGAGGTCATTTCGATATCGGGAATAACCTCAACATCCTGTGGTTGAACCTCCATTGTTTGTAAAGAGGTACTGAATAACTGACCCATCCTTGCAGCACATTTTGAAACATTACGAATCTTATTGAAGCACCCCATCCATTCTCTAATGTCTTCTGCTTTCACATGCTCATTAGAAGCAAACATCCAAACAGAATTTGAACGTAACTGACTAGCCGAGAAAGCAAGAAAAACAAAATGTTTAGCTCCAATAGTAACTCCATCTCGGAGAACAGACAATATACGACTATATATGTCAGTTCGATAAGGCTTTGCAAAGATTCCTTGTGAAATATTTGTAGAAACAGCATTAGGAGAAAGCTTACCCCAATCTTCTTCTACAAAAGTTACTCTCAGGAAATCCGAAGCATAAGGAGCAAAATTTTTCACAATGTAGTTGGAGGTTTCAAGCTCAGGACCCAGGCAATAAATCTTTGATGGGGTTACATAGGCTCTATGAACACTCATCATGTTATGACTCCCACCCTTCTTGTAAGTGGATAAAGGAATGTTTTTACAATTTCTATCCAAATCATCCAATTGATTCTTGATATATGACTTTGGTTTATAACAAGTTGATTGCATCTTATGCATGCTTTGTAGTACAGCCATTGCTGTGTCAAAATGCACTCCACTAAGAAACTCAATAAGATCCGTATCAACTGCAGCAAGACTGATCTTTTGAGTATGTACCAGGGAGTTAAGCTGAAAAAGGATCTCATATGCTAGTGTAGAATCTGATGGGCACTTCACCAGTGGAACAAGTGCAGATTCAGAAGAAAATTCTTCTCCTTTTTCAAGAAAAAGATCCACCGTTTCTTCATTATAATATGGTAAATTGGAAAGTATATCAGTCTCTGACAACCCCTCTTCAATTACCCAACAAAGAGATGATAAATATCCAACAGACTTCACATCTGAAAAATCAGTTGTGCGAACCCATAGGAAGTCAAAATCTTCTTTGCAGATATGGTACCTGTCACTGGAGAACTTTGATGCAACATCTTTTCCAGAAACTTTCCGGTATATCTTTGGGGCAAATTTAAGCTGAAAAATTGGAACTTATTAACACAAAAGTCAGAGGAAAAAAAAGAGGTAGTTTATAGTAGGGAAAATGGAACTTTTGACCAGTCTTTTTTACCCCCTCAATCATGGAACATACACATTTGCTCCCTCAACTACCAGTCTACCATTGAAGTGGCTAATCTTACCCAACCTTAACAAAACCAATAGAGCAATCTAGAATCCTAAAATTTGAAGGACTTTTACGTAATCTTAAACTGTCATATCCCTTTAAAATATTATTCATTTGTCTGTTGGGAGGATAATCAAAGGGAGAAGACAACATAAAATTATATCCACAAAAGACACATGCAGAATGAGTTGATCATATATAAATTCATGTTAGTATATACATGGGACACTATGTTACCATCTTAACATAGCAAATCACCCCATTCAGAAATGCTCTTACCAGACTTATTATATCCATATCAACAACTGAAGCATAGTTTTTACAGCTGTTTCCTTGCCATATAAAACAATCCCATACTAATAATTTATGCTATTTCACTGCCCTAGATACTCATCTGCTAATATATTGAGGGAAAAGCTGATGAAATTTAGGCAAAATTCCAGTTTCAACAGAAGAGAACAAGACAAATGTTTAAGAAAATTGTTGAAATAATTATACCTTGAACAGGACTGCATCGTGGTCCTCAGTATGATCAAGAGAGCACCTAGACGTCTCCACAACATCCCCAAACTGAACTTCGAGCTTGTAACACTCCCCATCTTGGCTACTAATCCAGAACTCAATAATCCCCCTTTCCGGCATGATCCAAGTCCTGACATTGTTCCAGGACTCCATAGGGCGCATGACGTCACTATCGACCATGATCCCAGCATACAAGGTCCCACTCCCGAAGCGATGATCAGGCCTGACTGGGCGGAAGATGATTTCGTCATGGGAGTGGGAGATGGAGAGGTGGGAGCCTTTGAAAGAGAGGCGGCGTTGGTCGGAGAGGCACAGAGCGAGCTGCTTGGCTTGAAGGGACTCGAACTGGACTCTGCCGTGGCCTCTGGATTTCCAGTTCTTGTGCTCCGTGAAGATCTCGACGGCGAAGATGGAATCCTGGCCGACGGCGTACTCGAGGAAGGCGAGGAGCTCATTGGCTATGGCGCTTTGGGGAATGTGAGTCACCCTCACACTTGCTGTGATTCTCTCCTCCATGCCCATAAATTGAGATAGTGGGACTGGGGACTGGGAGGGTTTTACTTTTATGCCTTAGCTTTTGCCTTTTGAGGTTTTTATTGGAATTTTCAGTCTTGCTTGCTATATACTTGACATTTTTTTTTTATGGGTACATACATACATGATGTAATTGATTTTAGAAAATTAAGATACGTGTTCTAAATTTTATTTCCAACCCTATAACAGTAACCACAACAGTTTCAAAATTTTTACGATTTTTCATGTGCCAAGAAATAAAGAGAAGAAGGAAAAAAAAAATGAGAAGACGTGTTAATGGGCGCGTGCATTGCACGCGGCCACGCGCCAATCTAGGCATTGAATTTACGCCCAACGCACATAAAGTGAGTATTCTGCTACCATCTCTCTCATTTGGGACAAAAAAAAAAACATAACATTGCAGGAGTAAAATTCAGCCTAAAAAATCATCTTTGATTTTTTAATCTGACAAAAATCATCAAAAAACTATTGGTATGGTTGTTCTAAGAGCATCTACATCAGTTTGATTTTTGCAAAATTTTTTAGAAATCAAGTAGGAAAGAGAGGAGGGAGAGGGAAAAAAAAAAGGTAAAAATAAGAGGAAAAAAAAAAGGTGACTAACGCAAAAGAAAAATAAATAAATAAAAACCCTTAACACGCCTGGCTGGGCGTTGTATTTGTGCGAAACACGCACATCTGCGTCTTTTCTCCAATTTTTCTCTCTCCTAGGAGTCTACAAAAAAATATAAACTTGCATGAGTGAAAAATGCATTCTCTCTCCTTCTTGTCTATCCTCCACCTCATTTTGGACCCCACAAAAAACTAAGAAAAAGTTATTGATATGGATGCTGTAAGTACACATATCATGGGTCAATGACTGAAATAGGAAGCTTTTATAAGAGCAACCCCAACAAGGAGATTTTGCACAAGAATTAAGAAAAAAATGGGTATGTGGAGGAGAGAGAGGGATGAGTTGGTCCTGTAAATTTGGGAGTTTTGCAGGGGTTGGTGGGACCCACTGAGGAAGGAGAGTTGCGCCTCATGATCGCGCCCGCTTGGGCGCGTAATTACATTTTTTTTTAATTTTTTTTTTCAGTTTTTTTTTTGTTTTTTTTTTCCTTTTCTTTTTTTCTTTTTCACTCATTTCTCTTTCCACACCTCCAAAAACTCCTCAAAAACTACACCAAAATCCTCATTATTGAGAACGCCCTAAATGAATGACAAAAATAATAAGGTTTTAAAAAGCGAACAATATAGGAAAAACTCATTTGGGACATGCGTTTCTGAAATGCAAGTCTCAAATGAATTTCTCGAAATTTTCAAAAATATATATATATATTTTTTTTTTTATAGTTGGTCAACGTGAAACGCAAATGGCACTTGCGTTTTCCATATAATATGAAAAAACGCAAGTGTAACTACCAAAGGAAGATCTCATCAACTCATATCGAGGGAGAGCCCAAACTACCGTTTGAGCGTCCATCTCAAACAACAATGAACAACCCAAGCTGTATTATATTACGGCTGCTCCAAATTCCCCAGCAAACAACTGCACACTCCTTTTTCTGCTCAAAGGTTTTCTCCACCCCACTCACTATAATCCTCGCTATCCCCACCTCTGTTTGTGCCCAGGCCAGCATGTTGCATTGCTAAATTACACTCCACCAAAATATGCAGTGTAGTCTATTGATCAACGGATAGTATTAACTGGTTGTTCTATAGAACAACAATGAGACCCTCGATCAATATTGGAATGCTGCAACCTCACACATTTACTACATATACATATCCCTTGAAAACTCAAGGTTTCAAAAGCTTGATATATGTAATGGAGCACACCCTAGTAAGTGCTCATCATATATATGAGTAAAGTCATGAACACTCCAAACATAGTAACCCAAGGTTCACATCAACACCGGATTTTTATCTTTCAAATCCTCAAATCAAACAATGTAAGTTGAGGCATAACTTATTTATCTTTGTCACATATATCAAACCCAATGCCAATGCTACCTTGGAATGGGCAACCATCATAAGCAATTCTTAATATATGGCATGTGCATATTGATTAACTTCTACTAATTCTTGTAAACAACTATCATCAATGTACACATGAATGACTAACAATAATCTAGAAAAGAACATTGCTACCCAGTGATCCAAGACCCTATGAACTTTCGAATTTTAAGACAATCAGTTCCGAAAATGCTAATTACCATTAAGGCAAAAACTACTAGCAAGTCAAAATTGCTAGCTATAATTTTCTAAAATTCTGATGCTCCAATACGGTCTTTGATGAAAACTTAGAAAACAGAACTATAGATGAATACCGTAGAGCCAAATGGAAGGAAGAATCATGATGCATTCCATAGTAATATAGTCTTATGCCTTAAGATCATCAGACATTGCGGAGGGTATACAATGTGTAGTAAGGATGTCCAATGTCGCGGCCTTTGCTGTCTTTGTCTGGAGGACCACTACCTGTGCAGATAATATTACAAAATATTAGCGAGGGTTTTTCCACAGAAATTACAAACCACGGGGTAGGGCCACTTGGGGACAGGGATTGGCCAGGAATTGTGTACCTGTTGGTATTCCAAATCAAACTTCAAAAATTCATCATTACAATTCTCAACCATGTTGGCTAAGCCCTTCAAATTCTTCACAGGAAGACCATTGAAAGCAAGTACCTGGTTACAACATAAATTATCAGACACAAAAGCAGAACGTACAGCTGAGTAGGAAGTGTTACCTACAATTTACATATAAAAAGCCAAAAGTCAGGATGCACTGATATCCCTCAACTAACCTGAGTGTTGACAATGTCCTCATATCCTATATTGATGTCAGCCACAAGCACCTACCATGATTCCATGTATAAAAAAGTCAGATAGATGTCATAAAACTATCCGGACAACATCAAGGCTAATAATAGGAGAAAAGAGGGTATAGAGAAAACCTGAGAAACTACGACTATCTGTTCATCTGGTGATTGTGGCAATTCATGCAAAAGCTTGTCCAAAAGTTTGACAGGAGCTTCATACTCATAATCCTTTCCATACTGGTGATGCACACAGTAAGAGTTAAAAATAATACATCAATAGAGATGCACATGTACGTATACATGTATCTATATATGTATACAAGAAAAACCTTTCGGCACATGGTTGATATTGAAATACAAAGTGACAGCTTAATGCATTTAAAGCTTATAACTATTTAGCATCCATGCAACTTCAGAAAGTAAAACAACAAGAAGCAGGGAATGCCCTCGTGTACGTTAAGTGGTAAGGAACAAACATTTCAAAGACATCTAGTTCTTTGTAGCACCTGCTATATATGAAATTCATGTGATCTCATAGGAATCAAAATATGTCACTATAGTGGAATATTGATAATTGAATAAGCATAAGTGATATGCGCACCTCTGAACGAAGATACGGAACTGACACAGTTGTAAAAACAAATCCAGCTATAATATAATATGAGGGAGGCTTGCCCTTGTTGTGAGCTGGAATCAACCTCTTGTGACTTGCAAGTTTGATATTAAATGTGTGGGTCTCACAATTGCGAAGAACTTTAATTGCTGAACTGTCTCCTGTGTACTTCTGGGATACAAGATAACTAAAACCTATACGCTCCCCATGCCGGAATGGAACTGAAAATAAGAGAAAGGAAGTTTATATGCAATCCCTAAACAAATCTAAGTACTCGAGATCAATGTCCAACAAGTATCTGCAGTAACACAAAATATTTCAAAACTTATACACAACATGAAAATTCTGGGGTTTAGATACTATGATTCACCCAATTTAAGGAGGTTCAGATTCCACTTCCCCTTCAATGAATTCCCCCATCTTCCCATAAAGACTATGAAGAAAAAACTGTACCTGAACTTGCATATCAATGTAAAATTGGAACAAGTTTAGCACTATCATTTTGCGAACCCAACAATTTACACCTCATGAGTAACTAATTTTTAAATTTCAGCGTTTAATAAGATAACATGGATTTATTATTAAAATTGCATGATAGAGACTTCATTCAGCTCCATTAGTGATAGAGATCAGGGAACATGGGGCTTGACCGCTGGATAGCTACTCCCAATGGAAGACCAAGGCAGGGAAAGAAAATCAGATAAGGAAGGGAAATTATCAAGTGATCCAGATTAAATAAATCGTGGGTGCTGAAATCAAGAATTACATATTAATTGATTGTGCGATTTCCCTTGATTGAATCTTACCTATTTTATACATTTTTGTAAGACCATAAACACCACCTACTAGTAACGTGACTTAATGATACACGAAGCTTAAGAAACAATCAGAATATAAGGGGGAACGGGGTGGGGTAAAAAACTCAGTCCCTGTCACATTTCACAGAAGATGAGTCAGCAAAAAACTTACACCCCTGTAAATTTTCAGCAGTCTTCTACGTAATTCAGAGCCTAACTTACAAGTATAAAGACATCAAGCTTGTTCAGAATCAAATTGTGAATTATGCTTTACATAACTTAACCAAAGAAAATTGATGTTCTATTTTAAAAAGCATTTACAAGATAATTATTACTCCAAATAATATGTATTAGAAGAGACAAGTCATCAGCACAGTAACTAGAATAACAAAAACATTGGAACACGTGATAATTTGACAGGCAATTCTAACAATTTTTCTCAATTTTTTTAATTAAATATTGAAGCGAAGGTTCAAACCAAAATAGAGCACATAATCACATGTTAAAATGCTAAGTATTTGCATGTGGTACATAAAAGTTGTTTTGTCCTCTTCAAACACAAAACAGCACTTTTACCTGTTCCATCATTCGCAATATGAACCCCATCAAAGCTTAGAATAATATCAGATGGCTTTAAAACCTTAGACTCGGGAGAAGTTGGGTCAATTCTTCTTATTCGAACACCTTTCTGGTCAGATTTCATTCCCACTGACAATCGCAAATCTGGATTTTCCATTTTTTGCCACTCAACCCCGAGAATAGGAAATCCTGATGTAGAGAGATAATGATGACAATTTTGTCAGAAACAAAATACAAATTATGTTTCAGAGACTAAGCCAAGAGGAAAAGTAAAAGGAAAACATTTAAAGTGAATCATGGCAACATTGGCTGCTTAATGCCCATTGATGACATCAAAGGCAGGTGCAGACGTGCAGTCTCAAGCTGCAGAGTAAAAATAACAAAAAGAAGATATTCGGCATAGATTCTTATGGAGTAATTCTGAGAAGGAGAAATGGCCTTGCAAGGTCCACTATTACTTCCTCTTCTTATCTTCCACGATCAGCCAACTAAATATAGCCATTCATCATGTCAAAAGATATAAAGCCTTTCATGAAGTAATTTGTAGACATACTATGTGAGGAAAAATGGCCTTGCAACAATTCAATCTTAATGAAACAATTACCATGACTCACATATACAGAAGGAAAATGGCACTATGGCAGGTATCCAGGTGCAAAATCATACATTAAACTTGAGGTTTAAAAATAAAAAATAAAAGAGGGTCTGTGGTAGGTTGGGTCTGTCTCTGATGGTGCATTTTTAATCAATTAGCTTCAGTGCATAGGGGTGACAACCTAGATATTTTTTTTTTTTTTTACGAAAAGACAGTCATGCTTCTGTGATAATTATAATTCTTTTTTTTTTTTCTAAGAGCCCTCGGGGTATTTTTCTATAGGGTTTGCTTATTACTTATCAAATACTAAAATAAAATAAAAAGAAAATGGTGATGTTCATATTACTTGCAGGAAAAATCACAATTGCAAATCTCTTACTGTAGAAGATGATGAAAAAGCTAGACTCTTGACCACCCATCCCTTAGAGATTAAATTCCAAAACCGATTTAAATATGGCCAAGCTGGCTAAACAGAGACCACTACATTAGGGGATGAAGAATCCCACATGCAACATTTGACCATATTTCTTCATGGCGTTGTTAAAAATTAGATCATCATGAAATGCTGCCAAACTCACCAGTATACGCTCCATTTTTTTCATAGTCCTGAATGAAGTGCATGATGACTGGTGTTGGTATAACATAACCAATGTTTTCAGCATCTTCATGTTTGAGGGACTGAAATGCAATGCCTACACAATTTCCCTTGTCATTAAAAGCAGGGCCTCCAGAGTTTCCAGAATTTATAGCAGCATCTATCTGCAATAATGATGTTCATTAGCAATTCAGAGCTATGATTCACAGTACAATCAATAAAATCCTACTCAGGAAGTAGATTGAGTACCTGCAGTCCCAGAAGTTCAGTTGATCCATGAACATACGACAATATCTCTATACGTGAAACAACCCCACTTGTCACAGAAATTGTGTCTCCACCAATTGGATAGCCTACAACAGTCACAGCATCTTGAAGTGCAGGTAAATTACCAAATTCCACAGGAGATACCCCTTCCCAAAACTCATCATCCTCAACTGCAAGCAAAGCTGCCGCATCACATAAACCAAAGTTAATGATGGTGAAAAGGGAGTGTATCTTTATCTAACGAATCATTACTGGAGTAATGACACAACTCTTACATAAAGATTGGGATTTTTGCACAATAGTTAACCAAGATTGAGCACACTGATAAAAAAAAAAAAAATTTTAAAAATGCATCCTTTAAAACTTCATGTAACTTTTCACACTCAAACACTACTAATACAGCATTGGTTCAGTGACTCTGATGCACATTAAATTAAAATTACAGTGACCAACAACAATGTTAATACCAGAAATCGATCAATTACAAGGGGCCAAGTTGTAGGCAGAAATGAACATCCACAAACGAAAATTGATTAAACTGCTCACCAATATCGCACTCAGTTCCAATGGCGAGCACCGTAGCAAGATATTTCGTATCTGAGCCTCTCTTTTTCAACTTAACCTGTGTGTAATGCTCCACGGAGTGAGCATTGGTCAAAACCCTCCTCCCTTTAATCACAAACCCACTACTACTGGAACTAAACTGCCGTTTCCGCTGCCATGGCAACGAGAAATTGGGTTCGGTATGGGTGCAAAACACCTTGACCACGGCGTCCATTGCCGGTACAACCCGAGCGACCGCGGAATTGGAAATCGCAGCCTCACTTGCAAACAGAGAAGCCGATCCATTAGGCATGTCAGCCACCCGTCGGGGCGGGGATGAGACTTTTAGGGTTTCGGATTTTTCAAGCTTGGATTGCTTGTCGGAGTGTTTGGGGACTTTACGGGGGCGGCCGCGGCCGCGGCGGCGGTGGTGGGAAGGGGAGGAGGAGTTTGCGGGAGGATTGATTAGCTCCACGTTGCTGACGGAGAAGACGACGTCGTCGATGGCGGGCGACGCTGAGGCTGCGGCGGCTGTAGCGGAGCTAGGGGTTTCCACGGCTTCCGGGGATCGGCATTTTGACTTTCGGCCTCGCTTTCGCTTGTTATCGCCCGCCATTTACGATGACTGTTTTGCAACGGAGAGCAATTCAGATGGGTTTTAGGGGTTAGAAGAAGAAACGTAACAACTGCTCTCAATACTTATTTATATTTCTAATGGAAAGGCGGGCAAAGCATGAAGCTAAGAGGTAATAAAGCTTCCTATGCTTGACTTCTTGTGTTCACTTAATTCAATCAATATATATTTCCTTATAATCAAGTATGGTATATTTAGCTCTATAGAATATTTATTATACTAGTAGACATCATACTAAAAAAGAAGTCTTTTGCATGAATATAGAGTTTCCTTCCATTGAAAATGCTCTCGGCGAAAACGGTTTCGGATGGCAATCGGAAAACTAATACGACAGCGGTTCGAACGGCGGAGGACCAAGATCTTCTCGAGAGAAGCACAAAAAAATCCAAAACCTCTGGGGATTCGGCCAGCATCCATGTGGAGGAGGTGGCTATGGAAGGAGTGGAAGTTCAAGCAGAGACTACTGGACAACAACACGCTCCAAAGGTGGCGCAATCTTACAGAGACTCAGTGATGGGTAATAATCAACCTGCTGGCAAAGAGGAAGACTGGGTGTCCGACGAAGAAGATGATGATCTGGATGAAGACCCGGAGTGCCCAGTGATCAAGGTCACAAAGGAGGATAAGATCCGCATTCGCAAGCCATGGCGGCAAACACTTATAGTGAAAGTGTTTGGAAGGAAGGTAGGGTACACATACCTTTCAAAACGACTCAATACTCTGTGGAGACCTAAAGGAAGAATGGAAGTAATAGCATTGAATGATGAATACCACCTCGTTCGCTTTAGCTCAATTGATGATTACGAATTTGCTAAATACGGCGGTCCTTGGTCAGTAATGGATCATTACTTGATAGTTCAGGATTGGAGGCCAAATTTCAATCCTAAAACTGACAAAACGGAGAGGGTTCTTGTTTGGGTTCGTTTCCCAGATCTTCCAGTTGAGTACTACGACACGCCGTTTATGGAGAAGATCGGAAGTCAGATTGGGGTGGCCAAATATGTTGATCAGGCGACAAGCATAGCATCCAGAGGAAAATTTGCGAGAATGTGTGTGGAGGTGGATATTACTAAGCCACTTAGATCTAAATTCACCCTCTGCCGGAGAACATGGCCAGTGGAATATGAAGGTATCCATCTCATTTGCTTTAAGTGTGGAATGTATGGGCATTCGGCTGATAAATGCAGCACTGGAGCTATGGCGGATGATGGCGAGGGAGATAGGCAGCATGGCGGTGCAACGTCGGAGTCCGGCGAACGAGTGAACAAGGAAACTGAGCCTTCATTGGTCATTAGACCGGAAATCACGGAGAGGTATGGAGCATGGATGCTGGCACCCAAAAGGCAATACAGACAAAATCTTGGTCAGAAAGGAAAGAACTCCATGAATGGAAACAAGGAAGCTCAAGGGAATCAAGGCTCCAACGGCTATAACAATGCTACGAAAGGAAAGAAGAATGAAATTACTAAAGGTAAAGAGACCATTGACCAATTTGTGGGTTCTGAGTCAAGATTTGAGGTGCTTAGAGTGGAGGAACAGGAGGAGATCTTGGAGCATATGGAGGGGTCCACTGTAATTGGTGGAACAGCAGAGAAAAATGGCCATGCAGACCCTAGTTCGAGCAAAAGAAAGGAGAGAGGGAGAAGACCCAATGTACAGGTTAATGAGAAACAAATTAATAATGGAACCAATATTAAGAAGGCTACTGTTAATACAAATGATAAGGCTCAAACGGGGAAGAATCTGACTACAATCGAACCAAGCCGCAAGTCCAAAAGTAACCAGGCAGCAGCGGAAACCTCTCATACCGTGGCTCGTGGGAACCTTAAGGACAGAACGACGGTTAGTATGTTAATTAATAATGACGAAGAACTTCCCCTTGCACATGGAATGGCGAGTGGGGAAGGTTCCGAACACTATGGTGATCCCCCTGATCCTCTTGAGAATCAAATGGAGGAGGAACCTTGGCATGACTGTCCGGATAGAGATCCTAGTGGTGGTGCCCTGAATGGGGTTTCTGCCTGAGTTTTCTTTCTCTTGTTTTTTTGTGTTGCTCGCCTTTGTCTTGGTTCCCATGATCATTATAACGTGGAATTGCCAAGGGGCGGCCTCTAAGAGGTTCTTGAGAGCCGCCATGTCTATCAAAAGGCAGCATAAACCTGATTGTTTTTGTCTGTTTGAGACTAAGTGTTCAGGTGTTGGGGCGGATGAAACCTGCATCAAGCTTGGATTTGATCAGTGGTTAAGAATTGAAGCTGTGGGTATGAGCGGGGGTATCTGGATACTCTGGAATAATGGTTTCCAGGTTCAAGTTACCAGAACAAATCCACAGTTTGTTTGTATGGATATTAAAGATGGGAACAGAAGACATTGGACTATTGCTTTTGTGTATGGGAGTCCCACTCATGCCCTTAGGCGCAACCTTTGGAAGGATTTGAGAAGGAGCCAGAATCCTACTAATCTCCCTTGGATGGCCATAGGTGATTTTAATTCTGTAGCCAATAGTGAGGAAGTTAACCGCCCCGAAACTTTTAATGACCGTCGATGTAAAGATTTTATTGAATGGATGAATAAAGAAGGTCTAATTGATATAGGCTATAGGGGTTCCCGGTTTACTTGGAGAAGAGGGCTTAATGCTGATAATTTTAAGGCAGCACGGCTTGATCGAGGTGTTTGTTCAGAAGATTGGATTGACTTGTTCCCAAACGCAAGTGTCACGCACTTAAATAACCTTACTTCTGATCATAACCCTCTCAAGTTGAATTTGTCAGAGCACAGGCGCTCAAATACTGCAATAAGATTCCAATTCCGTGCGGTTTGGGCCAAACATAAGCAGTTTGACAACATTATGCACCAAGCATGGAATTCAATGCATGATGGTGACTTTGATGAAAAGTTGATGGTAACTAAAGAAACTCTTACTTACTGGAGCAAAGAAGCAATAGGAGATCTTGAAAAAAGAAGGCGTCACCTTACTGCAAGGCTAAATGGAATACAGAGAGCTAAGAATTATGGGCGTAATGGCGGTTTGATTAAATTAGAAGCCAAGCTTAATAAAGAGTTGGAAGATGTTCTGTACATGGAGGAACTAAATTGGCACCAACGATCTCGGGCTGATTGGATTGCTTCTGGAGACCGTAACACCAAATATTACCACGCCATAACAAAAGTTAGAAAGGCAAATACTTTTGTTGCAGGGCTTAAAACTATGGAGGGGAACTGGATTGAGAACGATCGAAAGATGGTGGAGATGGTGCAAGATCATTTCCAAAAATTTTTTACGGACGAACCAATCTCAGCTGACCTAAGGTATGTGAATTATAATCATGTTAAACTTTCTGATGAAGACCTAAAATATTTTTGCAGGGAGGTCACAAAAGATGAGGTTAGGAAAGCTCTCTTTGAAATGGCTTCGTACAAAGCCCCCGGCCCGGACGGGTTTCAAGCCGGCTTCTACCAGAAGGCATGGAATGTTGTTGGTCAAGATCTCACAGATAAGGTGGTGGAATTCTTTTCAACGGCAAAAATGCCAGAGAATTGGAATGATACCCTAATTGCCTTGATCCCTAAGGTGAAGCATCCGGAGGTCGTTACTCAATTTAGGCCAATAAGCCTGTGTAACGTCAAGTATAAAGTTATGACTAAGGTCATCACTAACAGGCTTAAGGTTTTCATGAATAACATTGTTGGTGAAGAGCAGAGTAGCTTCGTACCAAATCGACAAATTATTGATAATATAGCGGTGTACCAGGAGCTCCTTCACACGATGCGAACCAAAAGAGGGGGAGTCAAAACGATGGTTATGAAAATCGATTTGGAGAAAGCATACGATAGAATTTCCTGGAAATTCCTTCGTGAAACGCTTAAGGAATTGGGTTTGAACGACCACTGGTTGAATATCATCATGGAATGTGTGTGTACGCCGCGTCTTGGAGTTCTTTGGAAAGGTGACCAACTTAACTGGATTATACCTAAGAGAGGACTTCGGCAGGGGGATCCAATATCCCCATATTTGTTTGTCTTGTGCATTGAAAGACTGAGTCGAATGATAAAAAATGAAGTGATCAACAAGAGGTGGAAGGGAGTGAAGTTATCCAGGTATGGCCCTGAACTGTCCCATTTACTTTTTGCTGATGACATGGTTCTTATTGCAGAAGCCTCTGTCGAGCAAATGAAGGTTCTAAAAAATTGTCTACATAATTTTGAAATTATGTCCGGACAAAAGGTGAGCCCCAAAAAATCCCAAATCCATTTTTCCAAGAATGTTGAGACTTGGCTTGCCCAAAAAATAACAGAAGAAGCTGGCTTTGCTAACACGGAGAACCTTGGGCGGTACTTAGGTGTGCCGTCGATTCATGGAAGGGTTACCCTTAATCTTTTTACTTCTCTCATTGAAAAAGTGGATGAAAGAATAGAGGGATGGAAGGGACGCCACTTGACATTAGCAGGGCGTGTGGTTCTGGCTCAAAGCATTCTTTCTGCTATGCCTTATTACATGATGCAGTCAATCATTCTACCGAAAGGAATTTGTGACAATATTGAACAAAAGATCAGGAAGTTCGTTTGGGGTAATGGGATGCACCTAGTAAGCTGGGAGAAGGTTACACGACCAAAAAGTCAAGGGGGTCTAGGGCTTCGAAGACTTCATGAAATGAACCTTGCGTTTTTAACGAAGATGGGTTGGAGACTAGTTACGGAGAGCAGACAGCTTTGGGTGAAAGTCATCATGGAAAAGTACATGCATGGTAAGGACGCCACCCAGGGATTTACGTGGAAACAAGGAGGCTCAAACCTGTGGAAGGGGATTTGCACTGCGAACAACATCCTTCATGAAGGCATTAGAATTATTGACTTCACTCAAGATTTCACAGCAAACCTTCTAGTGGACACCATTCCACTAGAAGACAGATTATACTGGAAGGAGGATAGCAGCGGGAGATGTTCGGTGGCATCAGCATATGACCTGGCAACCAATAACCCACATCTGGAAACTAACAAGGTGTGGAACATGATCTGGAAATTAAAAATTCCAAAAAAGATAAGTGCTTTCATCTGGACAACCAAACATGGAAGGTTGATGACAAACTCGGAGAGGAAGCGTAGAGGTTTCACCTACGATGCAAGTTGCCCTTGCTGCAATGCTGCGGAGGAGAATATGATTCACTGCCTGCGTGACTGCATTAAAGCCAAGGAATTATGGGAAGTTTTCTTACCTAATGAGTTTAGCAATAAATTCTTTAATTTGGACTTTGATTCTTGGATCAACCTTAATATGACAGGAAAGACGAATAAGTACAAGGTTGGCAAGTGGAACGAACATTTCGCTGTTATAACTTGGTGGCTATGGCGATGGAGATGCAACGCAGTGTTTAAAGATGAAAACTGGGAGAGAGGTGCGAAAGTTATGTGGATCAGACAACAAATCAAAGACGTTCAGAATGCGTTTGAGAGACAACTACTCCCTGGACTTGTGGATAACGAGGAACGTGAGTGGTGCAGACGTCTGGAAGGATGGACTCTTCTCCAAACTGATGCATCCTTTATCTCAGGAGACCTGCTGACAGGATGTGGAGGAGCTCTACGTACGCATACTGGAGACTGGCTAGGTGGTTTCAGCTGCACCACCAGAACGACAAACTCGACAGAGGGTGAGCTCTGGGCTGTTTACATAGGGCTCAAGTGGGCCTGGAATTCAGGGAACAAGAAAATTCAAGTGCTTTGCGACTCGAAGAATGTTGTTGAGTGGCTACAAGGAGGAAACAAACCCAAGGGCGAATGTGGTATCATTGTAGAGCTGTGCAAGCAATGGTTGGCGAGAGAGTGGAGAATTGAGATAAATTATTCCCCACGAGAGCTTAATAGTGTGGCGGATCAGCTGGCCAAGATTGCTCCTCAAAGATCCTGCGACTGGATTGAATTTAATTCCCCTCCCAGTAGCATTGATGCTCTTTTGAGCAATGATCGTGTCTTGCTGTTTACTGAGAGAAGCAGCTAGCTAGCGGGGTATACCCCCTCCCCCTCTCCCTAAAAAAAAAAAAAAAAAGAAGTCTTTTAATTCTACTTTTTATTATGAGAGCCAATGGTATACATTATGATCAAATTAAAGTAAGCCTGAATGATACTCTGGTCACTGTTATACCCAATAAATCTAAGCCTAAGAATTGATCACTCTTATACCCAATAAATTTAAGCCTAAGAATTGATTGAAACTTTTTCTTCAGTGTCTCATATCATAAAATCAACGTTTATCCCAGGGATTCATTACTAATAATATCATGGATGCACATGAAATACATCATTTCCTTAAGAGAAAAATTCAAGGTTTGGTTGATTTTGGATATGAGTCGGGATTATGATTGGGTTGAGTAGGGTTTTATTATGACAGTCTTACTCAAAATGGGTTCCAATAGTCATTAGGTTTATTCGATTTGGGAATGTATCTCATCTATTTCATATTATATTAAAGTGGGTGGAAATGTAGTTGGTCTTATTATTCCAGTATAGATCTTCGGCAAGGAGATCCTCTTTCTTCTTATATTTTTATTTTGATGCTTGAAGGGTTGAGTTCGATCTATGTTGAGCAAGTTGGACAGAGCAGGGAAGTTACATGAGGGTGTTGCTAGAGGGGCTCCAACTATCACTCACTTGTTTTTTTGCAAAGTATTCTTTTTTATTTCGTAGGGTTATGATTTTTGAGAGTCAAAGTCCTTTATAATACCCTTTAATTTTGTTGAGACCATCAGGTCATGTCATTAGTTCTTCTAAATCCTTTGTACTGTCCAGTCGCAATGTGCAGAATGAGATTCAAATAAAGGTGAGCTAGTGCATTGGTATATGTGTGGGGAATTCGAGTGGGAAATATTTGGGGCTCCCTTCTCTTATTGGTAGGAACAGTAGAGGAAATTTTATATTTTATTAAGGATAATCTGGTAAAATGTCATACAAGCTATACCCACTCATACCATGAGTGTTTTTCTCCTTCATGTTCAACTTTGCGAAGACATTGAGATTATTATGAACTCTTTTTGGTGGGGTTGTGGTAGTAGCAGGTGTAGGGGAATAAGATGGAAAGCATGAAAATATTTGTGTTCCAAATAGCATAGGGGAACTTGATTTTAGGAGACTAGTAGAGTTGAATCTTGCAATGTTAGGTAAGCAAGCTTAGCGTTATTCAATCTCCGAATTCCTTAGTTTCCAAACTGTTCAAAGCAATGTATTATCCCATAAATTCGTTTTTGGAGGCAGGACTGTGTTCTAATTCATAGTTTTTTTTTGGAGAAGTATCCTTGAATATAAGCATGTCATTTATAGTAACTACATATGAAGAGTTGGGGATTGAAAGTCTATCAAAATTTGGCAGGATCCTTGGCTTCCCATCTTAGAACATCCTTATATTTCTTTATAGATGTCTTAGAACCTTACAACAACAACAGGTCAACAAGGAGTCTCTTATGACTTTGGATGATAAGAATTGCGATGATGTACTAGATCTTGGATGGTTAGAGAGGCAATTCTAAGAGTAGCTATTGCGGAGGGCAAATATTGTGATAGAATTATATGGGCAGCAAATGTGAATGGGGACTACACTGTTAAAAGTTGCTACAGAAGGTTAATTGAGGAATTATATTCAATGGATGATTTCAATTGGACAAAGATGTAGAAATTTAGAATGCCTCCAAAAATTAAAACATTTCTATGGCAAATGTGCACTAACTCATACCTACGGCTATAACATTGGCAGAGAAGTAGGTTGGCTGCCCCAATTGTGTCACTTCTGTCAACAGGTAAATGAGATTTACATCTATTTGCCCAATGCATAATGGCTAGATCGTGCTGGGACATGGTGAGTGATACAAACTCCCAACTGTGATTACTTTATTCACACAGTGAAAATATATCTTTGATTCTATGGATGAGCAAGGTTGTTCGTTAATTGTCACTGTTTGCTGAAAATTTTGGGAAGCACTCAACCAGAAGGTGTGGAACAACAAGATTATGGGTCATGCTCAGATTGTTGATGAAGCGAGATCTTTTCTTGATGGTTGGAGAGAAACAAATAGTTGGCATATTCTACAAGTTCCATGACATATGCTCGACAAGAGAAGTGGAAAAAACCCCTCTCAATGATGGCTTAAATTAAATGTGGACGAGGCAATTGACATTGATAGTATGAAAATAGGGTTTGGCTGCAGACTTAGTAACTCTGAGGGCACATTGGTTACAGCGAAACAATTCCAATGGCGATGTAATTTTTCTTTTACAGTGGCTAAGGCTATTGGTGTTCGTGAAGCTTTAAGTTGGTTCAAAGGTTGTCAAGTCAGTCGTATTCAAGTGAAATATGATGCCAAACAGGTTATTGAATGATTGAAGTTTGAATCATATATTTCTACTTTTGATCTCATTTTAAGGGATATTAAGGAAATATCTATGTGTTTTGTTGACATTAGTTTTGTATTTGCTAAACAACATGCGAATATGTAAGCTCATTTACTAGCTAGGGATGCCATTTCTAGGACATGTTGTGCCGAGTGGAGTTTTGCTCCTTTTTGTGGTTGTGCTTGATGTTATTTCTTTGGATGCTCTAAATTAATAGAAGTTCTTTTTTTTTTTTCTTAAAAAATACTCCGTAATATGTTAATTAGAAAGTATAGATGAACAGATACTACAATGTAATAGAGTCAATAGCTTTAAAAAAATAAAAAAAAAAAATTTAAAAATTATAATGCTTGAAAATCGAAACGCATAAAAAAAAAAACGAGGAAGTAATTATAATTTTTGATATTTCAGGGAGGTATTCGCAATTGTAAATAAACCAAAAGGGACATCATAAGCTCGCTCTGAAAAGGTTTCCACAATTCCTTCGCCAAAATCCCACTGGGCGCAACTCAAACTACATCTCCGGCGACTCTCCATACTGCAGGTATGTGTTTTTCACGCTTAAAATCTTATTGATAGCAATGCATTTCACTATACGCTGTTAGATAGAGAACGGTTTGATTGTTTCCGCAGATACGATGGTTATAACTTTGCACTCCAGACGTTCGACGAAATGCTTCAAATAATTATTTATTATATTTATCTGTATTTTTCTTCTTTCAGCTGAGTTTTTCTTTCTCCGGTGCCTTGCTATCTATTCGCGACTATGCTTGCGGCTAGACTTTTCGGGAGGGCTCTCTTGGCTGCGGCGAAATCCGAGTCTTCAGGGGCTGCAGCTGCTTCCGGTACTGCAGTGAGGGAAGCAGTTCAGAACCCTCTCGAGCAGTTCTTTGAGGTTGATAGAAGTGTAGATGATGAAAAGCCTGTTGTATATGGTAAAGATGGAAATCTCTTGCTTTCTGGTCTTGATACCGGTTTCATTGTTCTTTTGTCTCTTTTTGTTTGCTTTCTGTGTATAGCTAGAAACTAAATTTCATGCTTTCTTGTAGCTTGCAAGGCTTAATAAAAAAAGGGTTCAGGTAGGTTTAGAAAAGAGATGAAAATATGTGACTACCAATTTTTACAAATGATGCAGTCGATGTCATTCTGGCATTTCACGCAATATTAATGCATAAACTGTGAAGTTATAAACTGTTAATGATATAAAAGACTCAGACATAATTATGACAGTTCTTCAATTCTGGAACCCTAAACAATGTTTTATAATTTGCACTTTGGTGCAATTCATTTATTCCTGAAGTATGGCATGATTGTCTGATATGAAGATGTGCAAATTACAAATATGTTTGATTTTAGTTTGCTGTGAACTTTTAGTATTTTGCATATAACTGGGATTTGATTATCTTGTTGTTTTTTTTGGATGACTATATATATATATATATATATATATATATATATATATATATATATATATATATATATATATATATATATATATATATATATATATATATATATATATATATATCAGATACAACTGTTCTATTCAAGTTTTTTGGAATATATCAACCTAAATACAGTACTATTGGTGAATTTGGTGCATGTGATCAATCATCAAATACAGCATGTTACTAGCATTAAATGTCACTCTATGGTTTGTAATATGTGATAGTGAAACAACACCATTTATTTTCTGTCTGTTCTTTTATGCATGACCCTTTGGGATCAAATATGCAGAAAACTTCTACACTACATGCAGAAAATGTGTTGCTTTCTGGTTTGGATGAAGTTGACACTTAGACGGTGCCAATCCAGAGAGAGAGAGAGAGGTTGAAGGTGTAGAATGGGCTAGTTTTATGTGTAAATGCCAGGCAAATATGTTGTTTTATGGTTTGGATGGAATTGATGGGCCATTCCTCTGTGTGGGGGGGAGAGGGGGGGAGGGGGAGGTTATAGGTATGGAATGAGCTAGTTCTATTTGTGTAAATTCCAAGGAAAAATGCTGATTTCTGGCTCATATGAAATTGACATTGCCTATCATCAGAGTAGAGAGAGTAGTGTTGCAGGTGTGGAATGGGCTAGTTCTGAATGTGTAAATGTCTATAAAAAATGTTGTTTCTGGTTTGCATGAAATTTTTATTATTTTATGGTACTAATCCCATTTCTGATGAGCTGCCTCTACAAAGGGCCTACAATTAAAATGAGTTGATGAGATCACTTTGAATGATGAGAGTGCCTTGTGGTAAGAAGAGTCAGAATTGGATTAAGTGTCGTAACCTGTGGATCAATTCATTGAGGAAATATAACTTTGTTTTACTGTAGAAATTTGTGATAATTTGAATGTTGATGTTCTTGATTGGTGTCCCTTGACTCTCAAAATTCAAGAAGCTACTTTTGCTTAAAGCCTCCTTTTTGAGGAGGTACCGAGGTAGAAGTGAAAATGACGTTTAGTATTGAGAAGGATATGGCTCCCGGGCTTGGTTTTATTTTTTTGACATTATAAAAGATGTTTAAGAATTAATTAATGAGGTCTTTTGGTAAATTGCATACTAGCTGACCATATAATGTTAAGAAGGATGTCTCCCCATGCTTAATTTTCTTCTCTGGCTTGATTTGACCTTATAATTACAGTGAAATGTTATATTGGGCTTTAATATGCTGAGTGGGTGTAGTTAATAAGTATCTGTTTGGTGCTTGATCATATAGCGACCTTGACACTTTAGTGGATAAATTGATTTGTTTGTACACCTTGAATAGTTTAAAACTAAAAAGAGGTATGTTTTAGGTCGGAGCTGGAAGGCATCTGAGCTGCGTCTCAAGTCTTGGGATGATCTTAACAAGCTATGGTATGTACTTCTCAAGGAGAAGAATATGTTGATGACTCAACGGCAGATGCTTTATGCTCAGAACTTGAGATTTCCAAATCCAGAACGTATTTCTAAGGTAAACATTTATATAGAATTATAGATTTCCACCACCCAAGCCACCTTTATAATTTCAAATCCCACCCCCTCCCCATACCATGGTGGGCACCTGGGCAGATATTTTTAAAACCTGCATCCACTCTACTGGGTGTGGGTACCCATCCAGATACCTATCAATTTATATTTTAATAAACAAATTCAAAAAATTAATAAAATATAAACAAATGCACAAATTAAAACTGAAATTCCATAATAAACATAATCCAAATATTCTATTTTAACGGCAAGTAAATATTATCAAAGTTCCAATAAATATGTAACCAACAAAAGTGCAAGATGTTTATCTGCTCTATTTCTCTGTGTGAAATATATTGCAAGCAGGAAGCCAATAATCCAGTAATTAGGGCTATTAAGTAGTATTAACTGACATAATTTATATATAATGTGTAGGGTGGGTTTTATAAACCCAAACCTGCAGCAGGTACAAATTTAACACAATCCCCCCTCCCCTGAAAAAAAAAAAAAGAAAAAAGAAAAATCAATCCACATGGGTCAGGTTTGTGTGAATACTCATGGGTTGGTTTACAATTTTCATTCCTATACCTTACTCCACCTGATTTTTACTTTGTTTTTGTCTTCCACCAGTCTTTTAGTCTTTTCCTGATTTGGCTTTGGTGAGTGAAACAAATCATATGACCCCAGGTCATAGTATAATAACCAATAAGTAGGAAGAGGTGATTGATGGTTATGTGAAAAAGTGGGTGCTGAATCTTTGTTTCTAGGGGTCATGCTGGTAACTTTAGTCAGCTAGCCCCGTGGATAAGACACACTGTGCTGCTAATGTGCTGCCTTTTAAGGTTGACTCCTAGTAGTGATGGCAATGATTGGAAAATTATAATGACAAAGATATGGAGGCAAAGTTAGTTTTGCAGAAAGGAGAAGGGGAAACAATATGCTGGAGGTTTGTGTGGATGATGATTCTAGACAAATTATTTCATAACCTTGAAGAATAGGATTCTTGTTTTAAGAAAAAAGTTGGTCAAAAAGAATATGAAGTGGGTGAGGAAGGGTATCCCTGCTACTACTGCAGTTGTGCTTGCAATGCAGCAATACTCTATTCTATGCCTGCTCCTTTCTTGCTTTCTTTTCTTCCCATATCTGCACTTGTGTCAAAGTGGGGCAGGTTAGGGCAGGGGACATATAATTCCCTGCCCCATTGCCATTTTTGCTTCTGCATATACTTTTGCTGGATTACGTTTTTTGTGTTGGTTTGTATTCTGCGTACATGATGTTCAGGCAGAATGTACATATTGTTTCCAAAGGAATTGTATCTGGCTAAGACAAATTTTAAATATCATCGGTGGGGTTGTAGAAGAGACTTATGTGCTACTCATATCAGCTTGACATTAACTGAGCCCCAGCATTTGCCAAGTAATATGTGATACCTATGGCCAAGCTTAACATCATTGTTCTTCTGTGCATGAGACTTGTGAACCTCAATCTTCCTTTAAAAAAAAAAAATCTCTCTTTAAGATAGAGATCTATGGTGTTTCTACCCTCTCAATCCTCATGAATAAAGTGACCAATCCCAACCCTAGAGGCCTAGACTCTTTCAATACTGCTCCCTCTACCTCTCTCTCACTCATATGTCCATAACAGAACCTCATTCTCTCGCTATGTCTCTCCTATGTACACAACCAGATCACTGCCTTGATATATTTACAAAATTCTGACATACTGATGTGTTTCAAAAGACTTGCTGGAAATAGAAGCTAATCAGTAATGATGGCTGTGATTTGCGCAGAGTCTATTCTTCAGTTGTACTGGAGTTGCAACACAGTGGTAGCTCTTCCTAGCATCCTGAAAATTTTAGAAATTAAGGAACCTCTGCTATTCTCACATTCTCTAAATGTACAGAACTACAGATCGGTTATTTCTTTTATTCATTTCCAGAAAAAGAATATATTAAGAATAATATTCCATAAATTGGTTGGCTTTAGAAATGGTTGTGAAGTCTGGTAAACAGCAATAGCATCTTAGTGTCTAAGTTACTGCTTGTCCCTTTACATATGAATCTTGAAGCCGCTATTGGACAAACAATTTGGTAAGTATATTTGTGTATCTAGATTCATATTTGTATGATGATTGGTGTTCAGGTAAGGAAGTCTATGTGCCGAATCAAGCATGTGCTGACAGAGAGAGCAATTGATGAGCCTGATCCGAGGAGGTCTTCTGAGATGAAAAGAATGATAAATGGCCTATAAAAAGCATCAGCCATTGTTAAACTATAGCTGTCCCTGGCTCCAATGGCTACAACCATGGATAAAAGTTCACAGTTTTAACATTCAGTTTCTGAAAATTTGTGTTGCTAAGTTTTGTTAGATCTCTGGACATACTTTAGACACACTATCTGCTAATTATTGTATCAAAAATAGGAGAAGATTCTAAATAACTTGAGCTGTTTCTCTCGTATGTGATGCATCACTTATCTTAATCATGGAAAATTATTTGTTTGCTTTATCGGTTTATCGTATTGCGGGTTGGACTAAAGTGGCTAGGTTGGTGCCACCCAATAAGAAGAATGATTCTCCTGTAATACCGTCTTACAGATCTTTATTTGTGAGATTGTCTTATGCTTTATGCCTTTATCAGTGAGACATGTCGGGTCAAGATGAAAATGTAATAGTTATATTGAAAAATGTAATACTAATCATGAATAAAGTGTCCTTTAAAGTGAGTATAATGTAATACTTTTAGATCAAAATGTAAAAGTATTATATATATTTTTTTCAAAAATGTTATATTTTTCTTTTTAAGTAACAAACATTTTATTCTTGATTAATATTATATTTTTCAGTATAAGTATTATATTTTCATTTTGACTCGACATGTCTTACGGACAAGGATTCATGAGATGGTATTACATAAGTTTCTTATAAAAGAAGGGCAAGAAGGATGTTTGGAGGGCAACATCCAAATGAGTTGTTTTTTTATTTTTTTTTATTTTTTTTGGTTTTTTTTTGGTTTTTTTTTTTGACAAAAAACTTGTGTAGGATCGTCTAAGCACGTTGTAAGCATCACAATTTTTATAATTAGTAACAATCATTTTATCTTAATATAAGATAATATAAATATTACAATATTTATTATAAATATTAAATTGGTATTAATATAAATATTATAATATTTATTATTTTAATATAAATATTACAATATTTATTATAAATAATAGTTTATTTATTTCAAATTGGTATTAAATTTTTTGTAATAGTATTATGATTTTTATCATAAGTAATAAGCAACTATCTTAAATTTGACCCGTTTTATACAAGTGTGATTTTTTTTTTTTTTTTTGATCATGAGAGAAATTTGTAATCATTATTTGAAAGTGTATACCGAATAAATGTAATAATATTAAAATAGAAAATTGAGAACTAAATGTGATATACTATAATAGTTGTGATATTAAAAGTGGAATTTTTGTGTGTGAACAATTATATTTAATTGTTACTCACATTAAGTAAAAATGATGTAAAATAGAGAATAACTATGCTGGCATAGAAGACTGCTTATGCTTTGTTAATGTAAAACAGAGAAATAATTATGTAAGGAATTTTGCAGACATGGTAGTTGCTTATGCTTTGTTAATTGATTACTTACGCATTAAAATATGTATGCAACATATTATTTATAACACATTAAAATAAATCAACAAGCCATTTCTCACCTTCTTTCTCCCATCTCTCCTTTCTCTTAAACCTTAGAAAAAACCTGACAAAACTCCCAAAAATCATCATTATTCTTGTTCTAATGATATTCCGTTTTGTTTGTTTGTTTTTTTTTTTTTTAAAAAAAGAACTATTTAGAAGATATATTTATTAATTATTAATATAAATCATTCAAAAGAGAAAAAAAAAATGAAAATGAAAAGGAACACTAATCTTACATGAATATTATTCAATATATTTTACATTTATAATTATCGATACTTCAAAATTGTTACTTGTTAAATCCCTTTCAAGTTACGACATCAATTTGCATTACTTAAAACAAAGTCTAAGATATCTGTTTGCTGGTGTACTACATATACTTAACAAAGTTTATCACTTTTTAAAAATTTTCTAATTAATTAGAGACAATTAATGATGAAGACTATCATTTTGCTTAATCTTTACTTATTCCTGGTCCTACCAAACTAAGGCTTTTAATTATATATATTTATATATATGATGAAGACAACTTAGCTTAGCTTGCTCCTTTTCTTCAACGTCTTCACCTAGTTTCCCTATAATGGTCCTGTTTGATAAATGACTATTAACTGTTAGTTGATTGAGTTAATTAAAAAGTATAACTAATTGATAATGTTAGCTGATTATAGAAAGGTGTTTAATAAATTAACTATTAGCTAATACTGTAGTTGTTAGTCATAAGAAATCAACATTTTGGAGGATATGACTGATTAGAGGTGATCGAGAAGACTAAAAACCAGAACCACTTGCACAAAGCAAGGTAGCTTGGCCAACTTACATATGCCACAATGATAAAACTAGGTAGTCGTAGTTGTCTATAAGTCTATCATGCTACTTAATCGATCAACCACAGATCGTTATATCGTGGATCCTGGTTCAATACACATAATTTGACTTCATAATGTACATAATTCATGTTTATAATGTACATTATTTATGTTCATAATACACATACACATAAATATGATATAATAAACATGAATTATGTGCATTATGAACATGAATTGTGTGCATTATGAATATGAATTGGTAATGCAAAATACTAGGAAGCTTAGAGATACTAATTGTTGTTTGAAAATGATAGTGAGAGATATTTATACTATTTTGTTGGATACCAATGTCTTTCATGGGTCTAATTTGCCCGTGGAACTATTCCCCTCCTCCCACCCCCACCCCCACCCCCACTTAATTTTTGGTCAAATAAGTAGTTATATATATATATATATATATATATATATATATATATATATATATTGATTTGATTCATATTAAATAACAACAGTGTATTAATCAAAATATATGACTAAGATTAGACCACAATTCTCACTTGGGACATAATAATTTTCATGAGAGACCGACCATATATATTAGACAAATATAGTAAAGGTGAGGACGAATTTTATATTCTTTTAAAGTATTTTATATACTAGTATTCATGAAATTCAGTTCAATTATACACCTCCTACCATGCCGTATTTGGTTTAATTCCATGTTAAACAAACTTAAACAACCAAATTCTCACAATCAATTCAAGAATATGTTGCAATGCACCAGTATCCCATCCAATAATAGTTTAAACTCATTTTTGGAGTAAATGAACATCAAAATAAATAGTCAGACAGAGAAGATGAGAATAGAGTAGGTGGTAACTAAGTGGTCCAAATTGCAAGGACTACGACAATGAAACCAAGAGACAAATGATTCATGAAATGCATGTGACTTTCCAAGGCAATATCATGTGTTATACTTTAGTTTCTATAAATATGTCCAAACAATTTTATTTATTTATTTATTTTGTGAATGCTGACACAACTCACAAGTATATGTAATTTGTTGATTGAATGGTAAATTTCATTACCTTCTCAATGTATTATATATAGGGGTACGTGTTTGACAAATAGCTAATAGTTGTTAGTGAAGAATTAATAAAAAAAATTATAATTTCAATATAAACTTCACACTTTTGAATTTGAATATAAGACATGAAGAGTGATCAACGAATGAATACATTTTAAAGTTAATTAAATTATAAAAATAATAATTAAAAATATCTATCTAGGCACAGTCTGGACAAAATTTTAATTTTTATTTTTGTATAAAAGTTATTATTTTTACATGAATGCACTCAATTGTACTTTTAAAACTGTTGGTTAATACATAAGAGTGATTATATGATTTTTGATATAATTAATGGATTCCATAAATTTTTATTGTCAAGCATAATCATATTAAATCCAATGATTTAACAAGCAATCCTACACACAAAGGGGATAAATGTTAAATAGGTCATCTAATTATCTATGAAAATACAATTAATCCTCTAAATTATATTACAAAAAGTTTCAATGAAGCACTTAAAATTGAAAAAAATAGTACAATACAATCCATTTTACCTGATTTTACATGTATGTAAAGAAATCGGTTAGCCGATGACTTTGATGTCATGTTATGTCACATCATATTTTATAGTATATTTAAAATGTAAATGCCAATAATAAAAATAATAATAATAATAATAATTATAATAATTGTTTTTGAAAACTAATGAACTAAAGGCCATTAAAATCATTTAAATTATATATATACATGGGCACCATTAATGGTTACTATGGCAACTCTAGAAAGCAACATCTATCTTCTTTCAAATATGGAAGAAGACGGTGAGTGTTCTTCTGTTATGGAAAACGATGAGGGCCACTATGAATTGAAGGCCCATAAAATCGTTATTATTATTATTTTTATATAAATGCTGCCATGGTAGCTCTGAAAAGCACCATCTTCCATTTGGAAAGAAGACAAGGGCCACTATGAATTAAACTAAAATTAAAATTTATATACAAAAATGTGCACTTTTTTTTTTTTTTTTTTTTTTTAAAGTACATTTAAAGGCACACAAACATACATTCTAATGTCAAAATTGTGAACTTGGAGGTATACAGATATGCACTTGAAGACTAAAATTAGTGCACTTGAAGATACAAAATGTACAGTTGAAAGCCAAATTATGCAATTAAAAGTACAAAGATATGCAATCGAAGCAATAACTTAAATGTTATTGAAGCAATTACCCTTACAAATCATTTGTAAATCTCACAAATTTTATTAGAAATTTAGTTATACATTATTGAAAAGAAGGCAAAAGATATAGTAAACATTGACCCATAATTATGCACTTGATGACACAAAAATGTGCACTTAAAGGCACAAAAGTATGTACTTGAATATCAAAATTTCGCACTCGAAGACACAAAGATGTGCACTCAAAGAGAAAACCATACACTGAGACAAAACATATGCACTCGAAGAGAAAAAATATACACTCAAAGAAGAAAAAATGTGTACTCGAAAAAGAAAAAATGTTCCCTCGAAGAAAAAAAAACATTCCTAATTGTATAATTTCTAATTGGGCAATCAAATTCCATAAAGATTAGCATATTATCCAACTTATCATTTTAGATATTGCGAGTCGTATACCATTTCGTATGAGATACAAAAAACATATATATAAGTACTGATTAGTAGAAAAAACATACAACACACTAATTAACAAACAATGAATCCCATATGAATTACTTTTGGTCATCGATTTGTTGTTAGTTACAATTGTACAATTACTCCTTAGGGGTGCCACATTTACTCAAGAGTTACTATTTCTCTTTTATTTAAATGTAAAATTGATATAAATTATAGCAACAATCAACACGTTAGAAAATAAGAAATAAATGGAATATGGTATGTTTCAAAAAGCTGATACCTGAGGGGAAAATATTA